ATCATTATTCATCACTTGGATGGTTTATTTGGACCCAACGTATTATCTAGCTCTCAGTTGGCTTGTTAGCTCAGTTGGTAGAGCGCTGCACTGGTATCCCAGAGGTCCTAGGTTCAAATCCCGTTCTAGTCTGAATTTTTTTCAGGTCTTATTACAACTACTAGCTCAGTAGTGTTCTTAGCTGCGAGGACCTCTTATATTCGTCTCTTCACCGCAGTGCAAATATATGAATTTCATATATCTAAAATCATTGTAGTATCTGATATTAGACATCATTCCTCGCAATTTTGCATCTTAAAATCTGTGAAGGATAAAGCAAAGGTTAACAAATTTAAAGTGCGAAACTTCTCACAGTTTTCTGCTGATTGTTTCAATGCCGAACTTTCCCAAGTGGACTGGAATGCTATTGTTGAAAGGAAATTGTGCGATGTGAATGATTTGTTCCCTCCTTTTTATAACAAGTTTAATAAGCTTGTCAACAAACAAGCACCTACGAATACAATTTCAAATCGTAAAGCAAAACAGCTCTCCAAACCATAGATAACTCCAGGCTTACGCACCTCCATTGAGATTAAAAACAAATTATATGCTTCTGGTGATGTCTCTAAGTACAGAACTTGTAGAAACAAAATTTGTAGCCGAACACGTAAGTAAACAACGATACCATTTAAATTTTTTTGACTCTAACTTGACTAATATGAAAAAAACGTGGAAAGGAATTACCGTAATTTCCGTCCATTTTCCCAGCACGGCAGATTACCCGCATCGGTCAATTTTTGCAATAACGAGAAAAACATTTCAAAAGATTACCCGCACTACCAGATGACTCGCACCCCAAAAACAAAAGAAAATCGTCGACTCGCACAAAGTTCCTTCATTGTTTTTGTTGACATGATATCCTTTGGCGTGCAATTAATAAATTTTCACACTTTTTGTCTTCGCTGTTCATTGAGAATGATAACACTTCTAAAAATCTGTTGTAACAAAATCGATATCTCGAGATTTTTAGTTGAAGAAATCCCTTGAAAGGCAATGCTAGATAAGAAATTTCACTGATGCTTCGAAAAGTCTGTCGCATCATTAATTATGCGGCGCCACGAAATGAACATGTCAGCATCATTTTCCGTGTGAATTGCCCTGAAGCCAGCTTTTTAAAAATTAAATTCTTTTATTTTCAAGTTCACTTCACGTGTAAGTGAGAATTGTTTTTTGAATTAAAAAGAAGCAAGCTGTGAAATTGACAAGGTAAGAAAGTAAGAGTACAAAAAAGATAAAAGCTTTGTTTTCGAGTTTTGTATGTTTTCGATTTGCATCGGCTTTCACCGAGAGCATTAAGAACAAGTCTCTGTAAGAATCAAACATCTTGGGAAATGAAAATTTTCAACCCCCCTTCAAATTTTGCATGCAGTTAGGCACTCAGGGGGGATGCATAAAAATACTTTTTTTAAAGGATGCAGCATTCTTGTTGCCATGGTAACAACGACTGCTTGTTCGAGGCCTGGGGCCTCATTTTCATACAAAACGTCGCAAAAAAGAGTGAAATGTTTATTTCTCTATCTCAAGTTAAATACAACATTACAAATTGGCACTTCTACCATAAATAGTAACATCATTCGTCTTCACTTTGATGCATTTTATTTCCCCTGGAATTGAATGTGAACACGCTAATAGATTATTTATCTCGGTACAGTTTCGGTCATTTTTGTTGTCGGGTAAAACTGGGAAAACGTTAATCTGAATTTCTCCAAAAGTATACCGATTCTGGAACTGAAAATACCCACCTAGCTGGTTATAATATTCTAGTTTTAAATATATAAAACTCTCAGCGAGCCTGCCTATACTTTTTATAGGGGCAATGCGCGAAAAAAGGTCCAAATCAGATATTGCATAATTTGGCGATGTTTACATCTAATGTTCACAACAACAAACGTTTCAGACAAATGAAACATGTGAGGCTATGAAAGAATGTTATCTTATGAGCAATATCCCGAAGAGCAATCTCACCTCTAGTTTTCATCTTTTGGAAAAAATTGATCAACCTTCTTGGAGGACAACTCGACGTAACTACAAACATATACCTCAAATCGTGTGCATTTCATCCAGATTCAGAGCGCTGCACCTTTTTTCATGGGAATTTGAGCGATCCGAAGTCCTCTGAAGATACACTGTTATACTTGTATGTCATTTGAAACATGTCGAAGTCGAGTGATCTACACAAAACTATCCTCACACCGGTCATTTGTCATAAACATGTTCGTTGTCACGATGGCGTGACGCTGTATTTCTCCGTGAAGATTCCATCGGTCGCTCCAAAGAAGACGAAAAATAGATATTTTTCATATATGTCAGCAGATTTCCACTTTCTGAAGTAAAAACAACCAAAAAAAAAAGAGGAAAACTTCGATTGAACGGTCGTAAACACTGAGAATCTGAGAGCGTAAATCGTAACTTGTCAGCGGCAGTACTACATGTCAAACCCAGTTGCAAGCAATTTGAACGACATAGGCATCCCCTTACAAATAGCAGATTCGGGCAGTTATCATTTCCTTGTGACAGTAAATAAGATATTTCGAATCATCTGAAAACTGTCCGAAAACTGTTAGAAAATTTGCATAAGATATGATGAGGAGAGACTTATCACCGACGCAGTGCAATCGAGTCAATCAATGTTTCCTTCCATGTCTTGAAAGAGAAAAAATCATAACAAAGTTTGAAATAAAAGATTTAATGAAATCATAATGTCATAATTCCACATTTCAAACAACTTATTATCCACACGTAAATCGCAACTTGTCACTTAAACGAAACTCCCCATGGTTAATATGAAATATGGATTGCTTCATGTCCTTCAGGAAAAAGAACAGCGATTTCGTCACCATTATTTTCCATACTTTTCTTCCGGATATCTTTTACAAGCTTAAAGAAAGATGAATATAATGCAATCTCCCAGTGATTTACACGAGAGGAAGTCAAAGGTCTCTTTAATTTCCCCCTGATGTTCACTCCATCTCAATGTGGCTTTCGCAAGGCACATTCTACTCAGCATGCAATCCTTGATATTGTGAATGCAATACAGACAAATATGAACAACCGTTTATTCTCGTGCGGGATTTTCATTGATCTGAAAAAGGCTTTTGATACTGTAGATCACGAAATTCTTTTGCGCAAGTTAGATCACTATGGTTTCGCGGCATTATACACATCTAATTTCCTTCCTACTTGCAAGGGCAAACTCAAACAACTCAAATTGGTCCTCATATTTCTGAAAGGTTAGATTCTACCTGTGGAGTGCCTCAGGGTTCTGTTCTAGGCCCACTACTTTTTTTGTTAGATATCAATGACATACAGGAATCGTCAGATAAGCTTAGTTTTTACCTTTTTGCGGATGATACAAATTATATTTTGCCCTGCCCAAAGGAAACTTTCTTATCAACCTAAAATCGTGATATTTGATAACAAACAGAACAAGAAGGTGGCTCTGGAGCATAAAGATTATGTCAAATATCTCGGGATTTTAATTGATAAAAATTTGTCTTGGAAACGCCATATTGACCATATAATCATTAAAGTAAGCAGAACCTTAGGATTAATCGCAAAATTACGACACTTTCTTCCAACGCATACCCTCTTAAATATATACCAAGCTCTTATGGCTCCTTACTTAACATACGGTCTGATAGTATGGTGTCAGGCTTGTAAATCTTACCTTGGCAAGCTCCTAAAGTTAAAGAAACGAGCTGTTCGCTTTATCTATTTTTCTGATCATAATGAGAATGCAATTCCTTTATTTGTTGACGCTCATATCTTACCGCTAAAATTTGTTCATTATGAATCTATAGCTAATTTGATGCTTGACGTTCGAAACAGAACAGCTCCATCCAATATTCAAGATTTATTTCAAGATATATATAATGTTCATTCTTACAATACACGTTCTTCTGCCTCTAATAACTTCTATACCAAACCTTCTAGGCTATCCGTTCAAGCGAATTCCTTTTCTCGAATAGGAGTAAAAGTGTGGAATGCAATACCTCAAGCATTAAGAAATCTTTCCAAAAATGCGTTAAAAAAAAAACTCAAACAAATTTTATTCAACATATTAGGTTCACAAGACTCTTATATAGATTTATCTGAGATTAAACAAAATGCAAAATCCTGGTAATATTTCTCCTGATCTGTCCTGACTATCTTTATAAACAGTAGCTGTACCTTTAATATTTTAAATTAGGTCAATGTAACGGTTTTTCTTGTTTTTATTCAATACTGTCTCTTTCCCTTCTACTTTATTAGTTAATTTCTGTTTGTAATATATTAAGGCATGGCCCGCCTAGATTAGCCTTTGCTAGTTGCGGGCAAGCCCTTTTCTGTAAAATTTAATTGTAAATTAATTAAGCGGCGTGTTTGTGTGAAGTGTGTGTGTGTGTGTGCTTTCACAACTTTTCAACTTAAAATCATAGAAGCTATCCACATTCAGTGGGAGAAACCTACACTTAATCATTAACTTTATCATGTTAATTTAAAACTTTCCTCGTAAATGCATACATTGTTCTGTTACTATTGTTTGTTACTATCGTCCAATCAGCATTTTGTTACACACTTTAAATTCAACTTTGTACTTTGTATTATTCAGAACATTCAACTCTGTAAATCACTGCAGTTATTCATTACTCGTTACCAGTCAGAAGGCTAAGCTATGATTTTTTTCAACTTGTTACTCAAAGAACAGCTCGGCTAAGAACGTGGATGGGAAATGAATTGCTTTTGTCAACGTCGTCTTCCAAGGATCGCTTTGTTAGTCAATCATCAACCTTACAGAGTGGCGCAAAAGGCGAGTGACGTGTCAGCGAGTGACGTGTGAAAAAAATTACCGTAATTTTACACGTTTGCTGTTAAGGCTCTTCTCAGGGCTTGAAATCATTACAAAGCACCGCACTTCATATAATAGAAGCCTTCATCAGACAAGTGTATATGACATTTTGCATTTTGTCCCTCAATATAGAATGGATGAGAAGCAGTTAAAAGCAAGCTTAATGAAGTATTTCGGAGAAACAACAGCAAAAGTAACCAAAGAAACAACCGAAGATGAAATCAAACGTATCTATGCTGCACGGTCAGCAACATATGACGAGGTACTCTAAAATAGTAACATAATAATAATAAGGGTCTGGGGGACGATGTGGCACATTGCCGTTTGACCCACCGGACAACTGATGCATCACTCAGCGTTGCGTTTCTCGAATGTTCCAGTACTACTGGAAAGGGGCCCAAGGCGACACCAGACTTGTGTCGTCTTTATCGAACATCTCTAATCGTAATAACCGGCTTGAACTTTCTCATCTTATAGGAACATTCAGCGGCGCGCACTTCATATTTCAAGCCACTGGCCGAGTCTTTACATAAAGCCCTTAAAGAAGTTTACCAGGACAAACCAATGGATCAAATCAAAATCATTGACGCCGGAGCTGGGACAGGTCTGATTGGAGTTGAGCTCAAGAAACTCGGATACACCAACCTATGTGCTTTGGACATCTCAGCTGAGATGTTAACGGAAGCAAAGAAGAAAGAGATCTATACTGAATTCATTTGCACGTCTTTGAACGGGCAGCCGATACCTCAAATTAAATCTGGGCAATTCGATGCTTTGATTTGTGGTGGGGCGCTCATTACAGGACGTATCAGCTCCTCTGCTTTCGTGGAGATGATAAGAATGGTTCAAACTGGTGGGTCTGAGTATGATTTTAGATTGAGGACCTAACATGTAAAATCTTCTCACAAGTTTTTTGCTGGTTTGTTTTTTTTGTTTTTTTTGAAAACTCAAATCGTGAGATAGATCAGGTAATGAAGACACGTGTAACACCCTTCTTGATAAATTCCCTTGACATCTGGCATCTGACCCTCAAATCATCTGCTGGGGTCAAATCTTGTCTCTGCAAATTCGCTTAAAGAATTTTTTGATGTATCAAGAGCACGCCCCCAAGCTGGTCTCTTCAACTTCTCTTTGGATGATGTCACAGGTTATAGGTTAACCAACTCTTTGAGTTAAATCTAATGAATACATGGACAAAAAGGAAAAGAATAATGAAAATTTCCTATGATAAAACCAGTTACAAGATCCGCACTAAATTCCAATGTTAACTTCTTTGCAGATGGCGTCCTCTGTTTCAACATAATGAAAGAGGAATTAGAACACTATCAAGAAATGATGACGGAGCTGGAAAAAGCTGGCGAATGGATGTGCATGTGCAAAGAGTCTTCAGCTTTCTATGCAGCCGAGGACTTGCCCAGTGAATGCTGGGGGTTCGTTTACAAAGTTTTAAAGAATTAAGAAACATGTACCATTACAATTAAGCCTACCTCATTTAGGCCATACTGGATAATCATTGTTTTAGCTGACATAAAACATCAGTTATAATGCTGCTGTGAAGTTTTGATGTTTAAAAAGCAAGTATATGAAATAAATCAAACTGTTTAAACGACATTGTCCTGATGTTGTACTTACGTTTTCGCACTTTCACCCATTTCAAATATTCTTTCAAGGCTTGTGTTTCGTTTCCTGATATGTTTAGTTGTATTTTAATGCAAATTAAAATTTCGAAATTACCAATACATTTTTCAGCATCGAGGAGTTCTCTATTTTCAAAATAGAGCCATTTTTAACTTCAGTTTTTCTTCGCTCGACACCGGAAAGCTGTAAAATATGAGCTGTGACATTTTATTTCCTAAGCATAAGAAAGATTAGAAAATGTGTTTAGATAAATGTTAGCAATTTCAAAATCCGTAACTAATCCCTTTAGAAACGAAACAAGTTTGCATTAATTCACATGATGGCCACTGAAACTTGGAAAATATTTCACAATAGCTTACTCTCTATAGCAAACGAGCCATGAAGAACATAATGACCAGCTCACAGTTGGCTTGTTAGCTCAGTTGGTAGAGCATTTCATCGGCAATGAAGAGGGTTCAAATTAATTGGGACAGAAAACTAGGTAACACAAAGACAATAAAAGAACTACAATAAATACATTTTGGGTCGCTTGTTTCAGGTTGAACAAGCTCTAACAAAGAAAGGGCTAACAATCGCATTACCTCGAAAAATCGAGAAAAAGCTGCCGGTCATCACTGCTGCGAGTAGCATTAGCAGAAGCAGAAGTAGCACCAAACCGGGTGGATTTGTCTTTCTGCAGACTTTATCCTGCGCTTTCTTGATAATTTTTCATCTTCCGAGTTGTCTGCGAGATTATCTTGCTCATATTCTTGGACAACAAACCATCGGCTAATTTAATCAATTTTTGTCGTTTGCGGATTAAAGTCAAAGAAGTTTCCAAAGATTTTAAGCCAGACGTGCTCTCCTCTTCTCAGAGAATCAAGCGCCGAGGAATAGTGGTCTTCTACCACCTCATTAAAGTTATCAGTAATTAACGGATGGTTATACATGTTTTCAGCGATATGCTGATAATCATATCATATGCAAAGGACTGATTCAAGAAAAAATAAATCATGGAAATTAATTAAACATACTGTGGTCAAGAAACTTAAAAAGCATAAGCTCACTACCATACTTTAAAATTGATGGAGGGTAAGAGAACAGTTGAGAGTACGAAATGAAAGGCATGAAGACAAAGAAACAATATTTGTTGTGATTAATTTTGATTGGTGATTTAACCTCTTTTCTTGATACGAGTATGAGTGACTGCTTCAACAGTCCGATCACAAGTGTCCGATTATAACTAACTGTCCGATTAAAACTTTACGGAATGATTAGTGATGCGAATGTACCAAAAACATTTGAGGAATTTGTAATGGTTATGATCAACCTGAAATAAAGTAATCCTGTAGGCTTGGAGGCTCATCAGGAGGTTAAATTCTTACATGTTGCTGTAAAGGTAAATGGATATCCCATTCTGAAAGCAAAGAACAGAATGATGTATAAACTGGAATGTTGGAATGTGGAATAAAGTATTAAGAGAGTGTCTCTGTAAGCGCGGTCCGGTCGATTTTGCTTGAGACACGGATTTCGCTCGTTTCTTGTGTGTTGTAAGACATTTATGTACCTATACTAAAACAACAAGCAGTTTGATCGGATCTCTTTACTTTTCGGAGTTTTACAGAAATTAAATTTCACTCGAGCGAAGGCTTGTCGTGACACTTTTCAAGACTTTAATTTCATACAACTTTGGAGGACAATTTACAAAAAACTACGGAAATCAGCAAAAAACAAATACCACAGCCATGTATATTAACTTTATCTTATCTATCGAGGCGACTTTTGTAAACATCACGTTTCAATCAAGGAAACAGGAAGACTTGAATGACACCTTATCGGTTCGCCTAAATCACAGACGCCAAAACCGATCAGATTCAAGGTAAATTTTTGAAAAAGTGAGGCGTTCTAAACTGATCCAACTAACATAGCTAGGAAGTAGGTACCATAGAAAAGGTAACTACAGAAAAAAACTTTGCGGTCCGACCTTTACGAGAACTTTATAACTCCGTGAACTTACCTAATTTTCGGTAATCTACAAGTTTGGCCGCCATTTTGAGGGACTTGTCAACATGAAGCGTAACCGATATAAATCAAGCAGGTAGATCTAAAACCGTCAGAAATACATACGAAAGCAATTCAAATGAACTTTAATTTCAATTCAAGCGGCAAAATTTGAAACTGTTCGTTAAACTTGCCATCCCCATGCGACCATTTCTTCCAACAATTCAAACACTACGAATAGTGTTCGAATTTCCCTCGTCGATTCCACGGTAAGAAATAACCTGTGCCACCCAAGCTTCGACTCGAATGTGAAGTACGAATCAAATAACACAACTGCTTCATCTTCGCGGCAATATCACGCTGGTATTTTGATTTTGCGATCGACAAGAACGGTGATCAGGAATCGATCGGTATGTTTACCTCATAAACGTGACCGCTGACCAGTCGCTGAGTGAAAACAGTATAGCGCGGGGTGGGGTGGGTGGCGGGCTTGTCGTCATAAGATATTCGAATACATGCTTAAAAAGCTTTAGGACTATCAGTCTAAACAGTGAAGGCATTCTTCGTGGTACAGACAACTTTTATTTTATTCTCATAACTTTCTACTCTAAATTAGAGCTGGTATTAATTAATAGAGTTATCAATATATTTTTAACCGGGGTACCCATATAACCTTTTTGCCCGTCATTTTCCACCAGAACCTTTTATTTATGCCCCATTGCACGGAATGAACACTATACTTAGAATGTTTGTAGTAAGTAATTTTTGCTGTTCCCAAGAATGTGTGCAAAATGATAGAGATTTGATTCATTCCACTGAGACGTTCTTTTAAGTTATGGCGCGTGCAGGTTTTTCCTATCAAAAGTCGCGCGTGCAACACACCGGAATTGAAAATTCGTCGTAAAATCGCACGAACCTTAGAAGGAGTGTAGGCAACTTTGACTTCTGGCGAGATGAAGTGGATGGTTCAAAGGACCCCCTGAGATTTTTTTCAGGACTATAAGTGAGATTTGTTTATAACTATTATAATCGTCCTCAATAGCGTACGGTGCTTTTTACCCATTGTTGTCATCATTATCGTTATCACGCCGGAAGAATTGTAAAGCCGGCATGTCGCCTTACCTAGCTACACAGAAAATTGTTCTCTCTTTTGCTCCCCTTGCATCCTGGAAACTGTTACTGTTGGGACGATCAAAAAGAAAGCCTTTATAATTATTGAAACTTTTGATTAACAGAATGTAAGAAAAAAATCGGTGGGGAGAGTTATTCGCGTATCTTATAACCTAAACGATAGTTTTCAATAAAACAAATACCCCTTAATTCAATTTACCTTAGTTGTTTCGTGTTTAAAAGTGGCGTTTCTGGGGACCGTAGGTTCTTCTCTGATTCTTCTTGTCTCAGCCAAGACTCACTATCATCAACTTTTTTCTTGTGCCTCTTACGGCATGGGACACAGATCTAGAGAGCTGAGGTAAGCGATTGAAAATTTCTCAGTTAAAGTAAAGCCCAGTAGCATCCATCAGGAATTGAAAACCGTGATGCACTGTTTACTTCTATTATTCTTAATCAAATAAGGGGTGTTTTTGATTTAATCATACTGGTTAATGAGAATCATACAAACTGAGGAAAACTGACCGCAAATAATTGTGAACCGTACGCATGAATAAGTGTATTGCGTTGTCAGGTGATTAAACCTTCTACAAAAACATTATTGATTATCAACCAAGCAGCATTGTACATATTTCCATCTGCAATTAAAAGCACTTACACATAGATCTATGCTTTTTCAACGTGATGTGTACTTAAGTACCCTTCATCTAATAAAGAATTTCTTCTCTTTTCGAGCAAATATGTCACGTGACAAAAATATATAACAGAAAATGTTACTGAAGACTACCTGATTCAACTGGAATAATAACTCCAAACAGCTTTTGAATGTCCTGAGACATATGCAAGGTAATTACATCTCTGCCTTGGATACGCTTCCTGACACCATCATGATCAGGATACTGACATGTTACCTTTGCACTTCTCCAAAACTTCCCCAAAGTGTGGCGATACCTATAGCAAATCCACATTTTTTTTGTTTATCCTCCTGAGCGAGGTAAAATAGGCCAATACTTGCCAAGATTAGCTCATTTTCACTTAAGACCTCTTTAGACAGGTGGCAGCTTATCAAATGATGTTTTACTGCGTCATTGCATTCAGACAGTCGTACCAAACCACTTAAGCCACGCGATCAACCAAAGTTTTTTCCACCTCTGCTATTCAAAAAGCAGTCCTGAGACGTAATGAACGTCTCGCTAGCGAACGACTTCTTCCTGTACTTGTAATTGTTTCCAACGCGATACAAGTTCGGGAGATCTAAAGGATCTCATTATAACTTTGTATACTCGATACGATTTCAATTTCCTCGTCAAAGGAGAAGCCTACTGTGGTCAGTGGTTACGCTCGTGAGGTAAAGTATGGGTTTGTGACTTTCTCACTCAATTGAAAGACTCGCGTTACTCTTATGAAATGGTTGAACGGAATACAGACTTCGAGCAGTCTCTTATTTTTCTTAAAGATAGTGAGGTCACGCGTATCCTGTGAGCATGGAGAAGCCGCGATACGCGAGACTCGTGTCTCGCGTCTTTGCCGCTCCACGCTCTCAGAGTTGGGCGACGACAAGACACGTTATTTCTGGTGCGATACAAGAGGTTCAATGGTTATCACGATTATCTAAACACATTTATTTACGTGGTAAAGATTTGTATGTAAATCTATGAATTGATGCTAGTCCTATTTGGAACGAAATGTATTTGAAAGAAAAAAAGAATACTAAGTAAAACAAAAGTTGT